TTGCTTCCCTTTCAATTTCCTTCATGAGTTTAAAGAGTAATAGCGTTAGCTCTTCTTTAAATGTCTTGTAGAATTCAGCAGTGAAGCCATCAGGACCTGGGCTTTTCTTTGTTGGTAAATTTTTTATTACAGTTTCAGTTTCACTCATTGTAATTGAGGTGTTTAGAATTTCTATATCTTCTTCATTTAACTTTGGCAATTCATATGTATCCAGGAATCTGTCCTTTCTTCTGCGTTTTCCATCTTATTGGAGTACAGGTTCTCGAAGTAGGTGTTGATGATCCTCTGGATTTCTGCTGGTTCTGTTGTGACTTCCCCTTTTTCATTAATTGCATGGGTTTGAGTCTTTTCTTTCCTTTTTTTGATAAGGTTGGCTAAAAGGTTTATCGATTTTATTTATTCTTTCAAAAAACCAACTCTTTGACTCATTAATTTTTTTGTATCATTCTCTTAGTCTCCATTGCATTGATTTCTGTTCTGAACTTTATAATTTCCTCTCTTGTGCGGGCTTTGGCTTTGTTATTCTCTTCTTTTTCTAGGAGTTTGAGGTTCTGCATTAGATTATTTATTTGAGTTCTCTCTGTTTTCCTAATATGGGTATTCACTGATATGAATTGCCCACATAGAACTGCTTTCATTGTGTCCCATAGATTCCTAAATGTTGTACTGGTATCATTATTTACTTATAGAAACTGTCTAATTTCTTCTTTAGTTTCCTCTGTGACCCATTGGTTGTTCAGGAGGGTGTTATTCAATTTTCATGTGTTTGTGGGAGTTTTGCAGTTTCTCATGTTATTGATCTCCAATTTTATTGCACTGTGGTCTGGTAATATACTAGGGGTAATTTCAGTTCTTTTACATTGACTTAGACATGTCCTGGGAGCTAGCATGTGGTCTATTTTTGGAGAATGACCCGTGTGTGGCTGAAAAGAATGTGTATTCTGATTTTGTAGGGTGGAACACTCTGTAAATATCTGTTAAGTCCATTTGTTCAATAGCTTGGTTCAGTTCTAGAATTTCGTTGTTAATTCTTTGTCTAGATGATCTGTCTAATTGTGATAATGGGGTATTGAGATTCCCCCACTACAACTATATTAGTGCTTATTTGGTTTTTCATGTCCATTAATATTTGTTTTGTGTAGTTGAGGGCATTCATATTTGGTGCATGTATATTTAGGATTGTCATCTCTTCCTCTTGGATTGTTCCCTTCACAAGAATGTAGTGACCGTCTTTGTCTCTCTTAATTAGTTTTGGTTTGAAATCTACTTTGTCTGCAAATAAGATTGCTACCCGTTTTTTTCTGGGTTCCTGTCGCATGGAGAGCCGTTTTCCATCCTTTTACTTTCAGTCTGTGAATTTCTTTTTGAATTAGGTGTGTTTCTTGTACACAGCATATTGCTGGATTTTGCTTCTTAATCCATTCTGTCAGTCTACTTCTTTTAATTAGTGAATTGAGCCCATTAACATTGATAGTTATAATTGATAGATATTGACTCATCCTTGTCATGATGTTTTACTGTTGTTGGCTTTTATTTCTTTTTCCCCCTTTCCCTTTAGTTTCTTAGCTTGCCTGGTGGCTCCCCTCTGTTGAGCGTCATGGAGTTGTCACCTTCGTTGCCATGTAACTGTATTTTATACCTAAAATGTACCAATAAACTTAATGGGAAAAAAACACAAATGTTATAGTTGTTTTGTTCTTAGTATTCAAAGCCTGGAGACAGTCTGAATGTTCTTCAGCAGATGAATAGATAAGTGGATGAACAAATTGTGGTTCAGCTGTATAGTGGGATAGTTCAAGGTCATCCTGATCTCTAGTGAGATCTTGTCTCAAAAAAAAAAAAAAAAGTGTGAGGGGATGGCTGGGGATGTAGCTCAGTGTGAAGGCCTTGGATTCAATCCCCTATACCACAAAAACCAAACAGAAAACAAAGTACGGGCTTGGAGATGTGGCTGAGTGGTAAAGTACTTTTGGTTCAATCCCCAGTACTAGGGCTGAAAAAAGGGACAAATGGGTGTTAGTTTTGCAGAACTACATATTTTCTCTACACTGTACTTAGTATCATTTCCTTGAACTTCCACCATTTGTATTTATCACACAGAAGCTGTAGAAATGTGGAATAAAGGAATTTTGTCTATACTTGTTACGGAGCTAATTATGAGAAATAATCCGGGTAACACCATGTTTACCAGGGTTTCCAAGCACTTTTACTTAACGAGGCTAAGACTCCCTTTGAAAAAGAAGCTAAAGGTCAGGAACTCCTTAGGTGATTTTGAATTTCCTGAGCTTGATAACAAAATTAAAGTTATAACATGAGATAATCTCCTTTGGAAGCACACCCTGAAATATTAGTAGTAAAAATACTGATTTGTGCAACTTCATGGGTCAGAAAAATCTATGAGAAAACAGGTGTTAAAGGGGGCAAAGGATACAGGTGTTCTTTGTACTACTCACGTAATTTATAACCTCGAAGTTATTCCCAACTAAAAAGTTACAAAACCAAACTGAAACATCCTCTGCTCCTCATTTCAGGGTAACTGTAATTTTTTTAATGTGTTAAAATGTCTTGAAGAACCTTGCTTGAGTAAGCACAGCTCCCGCTGCCTGGCTGGGTCGGCCTCATCTCACCGTGAAGGTGTTGGCGGTGAGGCTGTTGGCTAGGTCTGCAGGAGACTTTCGGTGCTCAGCCCTTCCTCCCAGGATGGGCATCTTGAGAGCCTTGTGAGTGCAGCAGGCATCTTTAGCACATTTAGTTCCATTCTAACTGAGGGAGCGAAGGTATGACTCACCTGAACATAGTCTGTCGTTGTATATTGTATCTTTAGCTTTGAAAACTACATTTCTCTTTCAGCCCAAAATGGAGTTAATCCTGACTGGGAGAAGAAAGTTATTGAATATTTTAAGGAAAAGCTGAAGGAAAATAATGCTCCTAAATGGGTAAGTTTATTGGTATTTTAGGGGGAGAGGGTTGAGCAGGCTACAGTTCCTTTCAGTAGAGTAGTAACCCACATGTAATTTAAAAATACATAGATAGCTGGGTGTAGTAGCTGTAATCCCAGCACTCTGGAAGCTGAGGCAGGAGGATCGCTGCAAGTTCCAAGCTAGCCTGGACTACGTACTGAGTTCAAGGCCAGACTCACTACATAGTGAGGCCCTGTCTCAAAACAACAACAAAATGTAGGTTACTGTCTACATCTGCTCTAAATTTATATGTAGTATTAAAAGATTTTGGTTTCTTTGGCAACATAAATTCAAGCAATTAAATGTTTCCATTTTGTACCTCTAGGTGGCAGTAACTGACTGTTACTTCCTGTGACAAACTGGTTGTAAGAGTGTCTCTTGCCCTTAGTTTTATTGAAATGTTAGGAAGAAAAAACATCCTAAATTTTATGTTCAGTCCAGTATTTTCACAGAAACTTGCAAGAACTCAAAGTTCTTTTGTCCAGTAGTTATGTTGTATTGAATATTGTGATCATTTGGCTTCCTGATAGGGGTGGGTGGGTGTATAGATAGGATATTGTGTTGACTTGATTATTTTCTTTTAAGGTGCCATCACTGAATGAAGTTCCCCTTCATTATTTGAAACCTAACAGCTTTGTGAAATTTCGTTGCATGATTCAGGATATGTTTGACCCTGAGTTTTACATGGGAGTTTATGAAACGGTTAACCAAAACACAAAAGCTCGTGTATGTATTGCTTTTTTTGTGAAACTTTCTGCTGGTAATTTTGTGTTATTATGTTGATGTAATAATGTTATCTTTTGTTTTGTGTCATAGGTTCTTCATTTTGGAAAATACAGAGATGTAGCAGAGTGTGGGGTATGTGTCTTTAAGATATATAAAATTTCTTTCATAAGAATTTTTTTCCTCAGCAGAGAATTTATTATTCTTTTGGTTCTGCTTCAGTTTATCTTGTGGGTAACAAGTTCTAAAATATCATGTGCAGTATTTCTTTATTTGATTTTATTTGACTTTTTCTGATAATGGTTTTCTTATTATGCTTTTGTCTTTTAAAGAACTCTTAGAAAGTAGACTATCGTAAATGATGATTCCTTTCTTTTCCCAATATCTGTATACTTTGTTTTAAATACGTGTAACTTCTTTTTAAATGAAAGTGAAAGGTTGACTTAGGTTGAGCACTTGCTCAGTTAACTGTAATTAAGTCACATCTTCCTGGAAGATCTTTTTTGTTGGGTTGGTTTTTTTGAGCCAGCCTCTTGCTATGTAATTCAGGCTGGCCTTGAATTCACAGCGATCTTTCTGCCTTAGCCTCTCAAGTGCTGGGATTACAGGCGTGTGCCACTATGCCCTGCTTTTTTTTAATGCTGGAGATTTAACCCATGGCCTCATACATGCTATCCAAATACACATTCTACCATTGAGCTGTACTCCCAGCGTCAAAGCATATATACACATTTTAGATCAATTTTTCATTGGTTAAAAAAAGTAAGACATTCTCTTGCATTTCAATACAGCACTAGCGGAGGGAAAAGCAGAATTTTGGATGTAATTGGAGCCATGAAAGGGAATAGAAATTTACTAAAGAAGCAGTTGTAGAGGAACCATGAGAAATCTGCATTTTATTTGTTTCTTAGCATTGCTTTTCTCATAATAGCGGAACAACATGTAGAATTAAATTGAATTTCATCCTGACACCTGTTCAACATGCCTGGCACCTAAAGTTTATTTCTTATAGTAGAAATGATTAATTAGCATGTCAAAATAAATGAGTTAGCCAAAAATGTCTCCACAGTTCACTGTATTTCTCGTGTGTTTCTGCTGAACCCACACCCTAGTTGTCAGCTGTTGGGAAGAAAGCAGGGTCGTAGGTGGGAACGGACTGGGCAGCTGCTTGGGCAGGGCCTCTGTAAAAGGTGAGACTTCCATGGAGTTAGCTACATTCTGCGTCTCATTCTTTGCTGGTAGATATAGAACCTTAGTTTTATCAGGTTATGTAGAGCTGTTTACATTCTGGAACTCTGACTTTTACTTACCCAAACCTCAAGCGATTGAGGTAGCTGGACATGTTGTCACATACCTACAATCCCAGCGCTCAGGAAGCTGAGGCTGGAAGGTTTCAAGTTTTAAGACCAGCCTGGGCAGCACAGCAAGTTCAAAGCCAGCTTGACTACATAGTAAGATGCTGTCAGAAAGAGAGAGACTAATTTATAAACCCTAATACCAGCCTGTTAATTTTCAGGAGAAGTTATAACTGATTGAATAAAATATTCTAGTTTAGTGGCCAAAACAGCCTTCATTTGGAAATACAGTTTCAAAAATTTTATTAAGCAAAGCTGTAACTTCTAACAATTATTTAGAGTAGTAAGCGTATTTGAAAGATGGGTTGTTTAATCTCACAGGTGATAAACTTTAAGTCTCCTAGTGTCTTTCTCTTTTAGAGTGTTTCCGTAAGGTAAATGTTGTGCCTAATCTAATAGATCAACTTTATCAATGCTTAGCTCAGATTCTTTGTTTAAGGAGTGCTAACCTGTTAGACTGATACAGTGACGTGTGTGATGTAGCTCAGTGATCTCGGCATCTGGAAACGGGCTAAAAGATAGGTGAGGCTGTCCATCTGTAACACTGCCACAGGCGCAGAAGGTTTGTATGTACTGTACATTGCTAAAGAGACTGGAGACAAAAGCCCCATTCCTGGGAAGGAGGACCTTGGACCTAGAAAGAGAGAGGCAAACAAAAAACCTGACTAGTGTGTATTATCTCATGCTCCAGTTTGCTGTCTCTTTGGTCCTTGCTACCTCTTAAGCTGAAGTATGTTTGAAATGGAGAATATAGTTCTCCAAGGGAGTAATGTCAGAATGTAAATCTCATCTCAGCTACCTGTTGATGAGTATTAAATGCCTGTATCATAAGGTGATTCTGCTAGTTTTCTGTGAAAGAGACTGTGGGATTGCCATATGCTTTGTCTTCTTTTCTGGTGTTGAAGATGGAACCTGCACTTCAGCTTTGTCTTTGAGAAAGCTGAAAAGGATTTAAAGTACTCTGAGAGACTGCGGCAGGAAGATTGAAAGTTCTAGCCCTGTCTCAAAATAAAAGATAAAAAAGGGCCAGGGTTGTAGCTCAGTGTGAAGGTCCTGGGTTCAATCCTCAGTACTGCCCCCCAAAAAAATGAAGAAAGAAAAAAAATTTCCATTTGTTACCTAGGGTACTGTGTATTATGGATCTGAAGGGGAGGTAGTGTTTTATTTCATTTGAAATTATTTTATCAGTTTCTTTTAAAAATGGTAAGAACTAGTTGCTTGTTAATTAACTTTTGAGGTAACATGTATACTATGGTTTTATAAATATGGAAATATATTTGTTAATTTTTAAATTTTTTATTTTAATTTTTTAAAATATATTTGTGTGTATCAGCCTCAACAAGAACTTGATTTAAACTCTCCACGATCTACCACCTTGGAAAGACAGACTTTCTATTGTGTTCCAGTGCCCGGGGAATCTATGTGGGTAAAAGAAATATCCTTTATCTGAAATGTGTGCTGAATCATTCCTAACTGTTTTTTAATGAAAAAGACCACAATTCAGATTTCAAGTTTCTAGTTGTCTTAATGCCAGTAAAGCTAGCTGGAAAAAAATTATTCTTCATTTACAAAGCTTCATTTTATTTTTTGTTTCTTTGGTGTTCTTTTTTTTGGTACTGGGGATCGAACTCAGGTCCTTGTGCTTGCACGGCAGGCGGCAAAACCACTGAGCTAAATCCCCGGCCCTACTCATTTTATTTTAACAAAATATAAAACAACCTATGTACTCATCAAGAAATGCTCAAATTCTTGGTACAGTTTTATAGTTTAAGTGCTGTGGAAAAGATTGGGTCACCCGGGTGTGGCAGTACATGCTTACAATCTCAGCTACTTAGGAAGCTGAGGTAGGAGAATCATAAATATGTGGCCAGCCTGGGAAACTCAGTGAGACCCTGTCTCAAAGTAAAGAAAGATGCCCCGGTACCAAAAAAAAAAAAAAAAAAAAAAACTGGGGGCGGGGGATTTAGCTCAGTGGTTCCAACACCTGCCTCGAAAGGAAAGCACAAGGTCCTTAGTTTGATCCCCAGTACCAAAAACAAACAAATAAATAAAAAATAAGGATGGGGATGTAGCTCAATGTGAGGCCCTGGGTTCAATCTCCAGTACCACAATCAGTCAGTCAATCAAAAGATTTGGATAGATTTGTAGATATTAAAATAATATCATGATAATTAGGTTAAAATATAGTTTTTAAATTAGAATTCATTTTCGTTTTATTTTTTTTGGTACTGGGCACTGTGCTGCTGAGCTACATCCCAGGCCCTCATTTTCATTTTCTTAAGGAAAACATGTTGCTGCTTTTGTTTAGTCACTTGGCATATAATTTTTTAGTCATGGCTACATACACTGAAATGCACAGATTTGTGGGGAATTTTGTTTGGTTGGTTTGGTATGGTTATTTTTTTTCCTGTTTTTTGGGTCTTGCTTTTAGTTCAGGTTGGCCTTGAACTTGCTACACAGCCTAGGTTGGCCTGGACCTCACAGTAATCCACCTGCCTCAGCCTCCCTAGTGCTGGGATCACAGGTGTGGACCTCCACACCCAGTCCCCTTCCCCGTGTTTTAATGATATTATACCTTTGTCCTTTGGCCACTGTTATTTCTTGATAAAAGGCTAGCTAGCCATCATTTTTATTGCTCCCCTGCATAAGGTCTTTTGTTTCCTTTGGCTACTTTTAATATCTCTCTTTGACTTGTAGCCTTGTGTTCAAATTCACTGGCTTTTTTCTCCTAACTTCATTTTGCCATCAATCCCATTCAGTTTTTCTTTTTCATTTCAGATATTTTCAGATTAAAATTTTTCATTGTGATTTTTCATTGTTAGCATTTCTCTGCTAATTTTCCTATTTGTTTACTCATTATATGTCTTTTCTCTAGGAGTTGTGAATTATTGTGTTTTCATGTCCTGTCTGCTAATTTTGATGTGCAGGCCATCACTGGGTTTTTACTGATTGATTCTAATCTTTCTTCTCATAACTACTAATGATGTATCGTATGCTAGTAAACAATATTGTGGAGAGTTTAGCTTTCTGTCTCTTCAAGAATGTTGGGCTGGTTGCAGTGGTGTAGGCCTGTACTCCCAGCACAGGAGGCTGAAGCAGGAAAATTACTGCAAGTTCAAGGCCAGTCTGCACTACAAAGACCAAAGACAAAAAAAAAATGTTGAATGCCTGTAGTCCTAGCTATGTGGGAGGCTAAAGTGGGTAGAATCACTTGAGCCCAGGAGTTAAAGGCCAGCTTAAGCAACATAGGAGACCCTCACTCAAAAAAAGAATGTTGTATTTGTTTCTGACAGGTAATTTACTGGAGCGTTTGATCCTGTGAAGTCATGGTTTGGGGATTTGTTAAAGTAGATATGTAGCTAGCCCTTGGCTGTATAAGACAGTCCTTATAAAATGTACTATTCAGGTCTTACCTAAATGCCTGGGAGATTCAGCAGGTCCAGTTGTAGTATTCCTGCGGCTTCATTTAATCCTTGGCTCAACAGCAGCTGTTCTGTTTTTTTTTTCTTAGCTGTTCTCTGTTAAGCCTCAAGGAATCATTTGGCCAAAAATACACGTGGAACCTGCACAGATTTCTAGGTCTTCTGTCTTCTTCATCTGCCTTTTACTTTTCTGCAAATTGTGGTTGCTTCAGTAACCCTGAACTCTGCATGCTATATTTTGACCACCCAGCAAGAGTGAGTTGCTGCACTTTGGGAAGTGCTTCTCCTGGAGAGTTGGGAAGGGTACAGACTTTCCCTGGTGTGCGTCTCCTCGTTCACTGATTGGCCCCTTCCGCTCCTGTTGTCCAGTCCCTGAAAGCATATGCTTACTTACTTTATCGAGTTTTATGCTTGTTTACAGTGATCATAAGAGTGATAGCTGTTACTTTTCATGACCAAATCTGGGGATCTGACCTCCTTTAAGAAATACTTTATTTTTAATAAATTGCCAAACTAGTAATCCTTTATTAGGCATATAATTAGCATAATTTAGGATATTCCTCAAGTTCATGGTAGTTTTTTCTTAACCTTTTATTTAACGCCTATGTTAATGCAAACCAAGCTCGAGTCAGTCCCTCGACATCCTACACTCCCAGTCGTCACAAGAGGAGTTATGAAGATGATGAAGATATGGACCTACAGCCCCATAAACAGAAAGACCAACACACAGGTGCCAGACAAGCAGGTAGTGTGTACCAGCAGGCTTCCTCTAGATGTTTCCTGTCTTGCTGTAATAGATTTGCTTACAGAGTTAATTGTTTAAGAGCTGGGTGTGGTGGTGCAGCCTGTAATCCTAACACTGGAGAGGCTGAGACAGAAAGATTGCTGCAAGTTCAAGGTCAGCCTGCACTACACAGTGAGACCCTGTCTTAAAAAAAAAAAAAAGAAATATATATATATATATATATGTATCGGTATTTCTGGATTTAGGAACTGGTAGCGATATGGCAGCCTTCTGGCTTCTGGTTTATCAGAATTGTAGGTAATTTGGAGTCTGGGGGATGTAACTAGTGGTCGAGTGCTTGCCTGGAAGGTGCAAGGCCATGGGTTTAATCCTCAGTCTCTCACACACACACATTGCAGATAGTAGTTTGGAGAGTTTTTACAGTACTCTTTGGTCAGACTATGCTTTGTAATTAGCAGTTTGGCATCACTTACAAGAATAGCTGCTCTAATGTACATTTTTTTGAGTCTCAGGTGGTAAGCTGCAAAAGATCTTTTCTATCTTCATATTCATTTAATTATTTATTTGGTACTGGGGATCGAACTCGGGACTATGTTATATAAATGGAATCATACATTATATAACCTTTGGGGACTGGCTTTTTCTACTTATATAATTTACTCATATAATTTCTAATGTAATTTACTTGAGAGCCATCCAAATATTTGTATGTATCAATAGTTTCCTCCTTTGTATTATTACTGAATAGTGTATGGTAGGCTATATTTTTATTCTAATCAGCTTTCAGCCCTAAATTGGAACTGCTACAGGAGTAAGGGCTATCTTTTAATGATCTATATATGCCCATTTATCTGATTCATGGTAGATGGTGGATATTAATGAATATTTGTTAGATAACTTTATTGTTGTCTGGCTTTATTCTGCCTAATAAGAAATGTGTCTGATGGGCCGGGAATTTAGCTCAGTGGTTCCACCACCTGCCTCTAAAACGCAGGGTCCTGAGTTTGATCCCCGGTACCAAGAAAAGGAAATATGTCCTACCAAGGTATTTTGTAGTAAGTACAGCATGTATTTTTGTAAATCAGAGATACTCAAGTAACCATATTGAATATTCACTTTTTAAAAGTACTTACATGATTTTGATAGTAATTTGTTGCTATTTTGTAGTAGGAAAAGAATTAAAATTTTCTGATTCATACTTTTCTCTCTTGTAGGTCAAAGGGTTTTGCTAGTATGTGTTATTAAAATTATAACAGTGTGATCTTTTCAAACTCAGAAGCATCATTTATATCAAACTTGAGAAATGCTTTTGGAATGTTCTTTTTCTTCAGGGTGCCTTAGAAATGACTCAGTGCAATGCTGTCCTTTGAATTTAGGAAGTGTCAGTGGTCTTCAGTGGCGTGGCGAGCCAAAACGTTTAGAAACGGAAGCTTCCACAGGGCAGCAGCTGAACTCCCTAAACCTCTCTTCTCCTTTCGATCTGAATTTCCCTTTGCCTGGAGAGAAGGGCCCTGCCTGCCTTGTAAAGGTAATGTAATAAAACTTTTCTTATCCCTGACATTGATAGATGTGTTACTTGTCTAGGAAATTGACATGGAGAACTCTTAGCATTAGTATCAGGGTTTTTTGGTGATGGAACTAATCGGTACCAATTTAGAGACCTCCAGCAACAAAAAATTTATTATTTTACAGGCTTTGGGTTAGGAATACAGTGTGGATTTCACTGTGGTAAAATCAAGTTGCCAAGAAGTCTTCATTCTTTACCATAGGTTTTAGAGGAGAATCTGGGTTTTTCTGTTTGTTTTTTTCTCTGCCTTATCCAGCTTCTAGAGCTGGCCCACATTCCCTTGCCTTGGCCCTGCCCTACCACCTTTAAGGCCAGCCACATTACATCTGTCTGACTATTTTTCTTCCTTCCTTTTTTTTTGTCTGACCATTTTTCAGTGACATCTCCATCTGACTGTGGAAGAAAGGTTCCCCTTAAAAAATAAAGAAAGAAAGAAAAAGAAAAAGAAAGGTTCCTCTTTCTGTGGATCTGTGTGATTACACTGGGCCCACCATGATAATCCAGGATGATTTCCCCATCACACCTGCAAACCTTTCTTGCATAAAAAGTAACATGCTTACAAGTTCCAAGGGTTGTGAACATCTTCCCTGGGTCCTTATTCTGGCTGTTGCAGCATTCTTAAAAAATCAAAGAGGCTGGGGATTTAGCTCAGTGGCACCGTGCCTGCCTTGCAAGTGCAAGGCCCTGAGTTTGATCCCTGGTGCCAAAAAATAAATAAATAAAATTCTTAGAAGTACAAGAATCAAAGAGTATGTCAAACATGGAAATGGAACAACTTTTTAACTCATGTCCACTACCTTCCTGTACCATTTCTAATTTTATAGTATCTATTTTTGCCATTCTTCCTTGCTTTACCAAAACTCCTTTCTCAAACCAGGTGTGATGGCACATGCCTGTAATCCCAGGGGGTACTGAAGCAGGAGGATTGCAAGGTTGGGCCCAGCCTAGGCAGTTTAGCAGTTTAGCAAGACCTTCTCCCAAAATAAAATAATACAAAAGGGCTGGGGTTGGAGCTCAGTGTATAGGCCCTGGGTTCAATTCTCAGTACTGGAAAAAATAAAAATAATAATAACTTACTTGAATTTAAGATAAAATAGAAGAAAAAAAATCTATTGAAAGGCTATTCTATCTTGCTTACTCTGGTTTTGTTCCTTTTTTTGTTGTTTTTGGTTTTTTCTGGTTTTGTTTTTGTTTTTGATCCTTGTAACTCAGTAAGTGAGAGGAGGTTCAGAAATGATTGCCAGGAATTTCCATTCTTACTCTGCAGTTTAAACTGTGTACTTTTCCCCCTCCCATCAGTTCTCACCAGGAAGAGGCTTTGACAGTTTTCTAAAATCCATCTGGACAATTTTGAAAGTTTCTTTTTTTATTATGAAAAGTCTTGTGGCCATTGTAAATTTTGTGTTAAACCCCTGATGTTGTGAAGTTTGTAAGTCTAAAATTAATCATGCTGGCTAATTTCGTTTTTGGTTTCCTTCTCAGTATGGTTAATAGATTTTTAAATAATGTATGTTTCTAAATTTTGACCATCAGCCTTTGAGAAAAACCTTTTTTTTTTGTAGTGTGACATATTTGAAATAAACATTGGTCTGGTAGTCGGGATCTGTGTTTGGTTTTTGCCCCACTTGCTGACTAGCAGAATGGCTTTAGGCAATTCCCTTATCTCTCTGGGTGTCAGTTTATGAAATACAGGGGTTACTTTAAGGTCCATTTTTTTTAACCTAAATTCTAAGATATTACTACTTTAAGACTAATTTCTTAGACTTTTTGAGTCACTTAGTGCTAGCATGATTTCATGTGGTTACTTGTCAGGTCTATGAAGACTGCGATTGTTTCAAAGTAAACGATGTTCTTGAGTTTTACGGCATCCTGTCTGTGGATCCTGTGCTGAGTATACTGAGTAGTGACGAAAGGTGAGTCCATTTGCTTCTTTTTTGTCTTGTTTACTTTTTTTTTCCTTAAATTCTTCTATGGGTACATTTTAGGTATACAATATGTTTGCATTTATCATTAGGTGCTTGTACCTGTACATGATGTATCTTGGTTCTTATTTTTTCCCCATTCCCTGTCCTCCCTTCACCCCCTCCACTCTTCCCTATTTACATAGACTTTGTTTCCATTTTTTTTCTTTTCTCATAATTTTTCCTTTCCCTCCTTTTGTCTTGTTTACTTTTTTGACATAATTTCATACTTATGGGAAAAGTGGCAGATAGTTAGAAAGAACTCCCTTTCCCTCTTTACTAAGATTTACCAGGTATCAACACCTGTGCCCCATGTTACTTTGTCATTCATTTGAGCTGTTTATGTTCACAATTTTTTTGAAACACTGAAGATTAAGCTGCATACATTAAACCCTCTACCTCTAAATACGTGAGTCAGTATTTCCTAACCACAAAGACTTCATGTGTAATCAGAGCACAGGTATCAAAATTAGGAAATTGCCATGAATATGTAACACGAATCCAGTCCATACCCACATTTACCAGCTGTCTCAGTCCTCACCTCACTCTTGGTCTAGGACCCATAGGATTGCTGATTACATTAATCCAGAACAGTTCACAGCCTTTCATTGTCCTGCATGACCTTGACATTTTTTGGTTTTGGGGGGGGTTTTTGGCTTAAACAAAGGAAAACTTAGAAGTATAGAAGTTGGGAAGGCCAACATCAGGTGTCTAGTGAAGGACCTCTCCTGGTTAGCAGATGGCCGTCTTCTCACATGGCAGAGAGCAGAGGGCCTGTGTGTGTGTGTGTGTGTGTGTGTGTGTGTGTGTGTGTTTTGAGGCAGGGTCTCACTATGTAGTTCAGGCTGGCTTTGAACTCACTATGGAGACTAGACTGGCCTTAAACTCACAGCAGTCCTCCTGCCTCAGCTTCTGGAGTGCTGAGATTACAGGCGTGCACCGCCACGCCCAGCCAAGGCAATTATTTAGCTGACTGCCTCTTTTGACAGGAAACTTCAGAAGTGATAAATCATTCTCAGTGCATTATAACAGGAGACACATGTCAGTTTGTCTTATTACTAGTGGTGGTTATCCACCAGCTCTCCTATACAGTGACAGTTTTTCACTTTGTCATTAACAAGTAACACAGAAGATAACTTTAAGACTATGTAGATATCCAGCTTTTCATTAACCTTGCACTGACTCAGTTTGCATCCATTGATGATTCAGTTGTGAACTCAATCACTAACTCACTCTGCATTTTTTAGGTATTCAACTGAGATTTTTCTCTTCCATTTATTTAACGAATTATCAGACTGAGAGATTCATTTGTTAGTAAATGATAGTATCATTATTTTCAGACTCAGATTTTCCTAGATTTAGCTCCTTGGAGTCACTTTGGGGTTCTGTTTAAGATGACCTTATCCTGTTTTGTTTTGTTTCGTTTTAATTTGTTTTGGTACTGGAGATTGAACCCAGGGCCTTTGTACTGAGCTATATCCCCAGCCCTTTTTTATTTTGATACAGGACCTCACCAAGTTGCTAAGTTACCCGGGCTAGGCTAGAACTTTCAGTCTTCCTGCCTGAGCCCTCCCAGAGTGCAGGAATTACAGGTGTGTGTCACCATGCCTGGCAGACCTTACCATTAACATTGATTTTCTGGCACACTAAGTTGTACTTACACTTTCCATGCTCTAATCTGAGTATCAGCTAGTTTTTCAAGGGCCATGGTTTCTTTTAGTGAGGAATTACATTTAAAATCAAGACCAGCCAGACAGTTGTGGTGCACACCTATAATCTCAGGAGTCAGGAGGCAGAGAGGCAGGTTCAAGGCCAGCCTGGGCTACAAAGTAAGTTCAACACCAGCCTAAAATAAATACCAAGACCCTGTCTGTCTCTCAAAAAAAAAATCAAGGTCAGAGTACTAGGTGTATTTTTGTTGTTGTGGTGATGGTTTTTTGTGTTTTGTTGGGTTTTTTGAGACAAGGTCTCTCTATGTAGTTCAGGCTGGCCTCAAAGTGATCTTGCTTCAGCCTCCCAAGTACTTGGATTATAGGCGTGCACCACCACACCTGGCTCGGTGTACTTTTTGGTACTGGGTTTGCTTTCCTTCTCAGCCTTTTTAGTGGACAGAGTATTGTATCAGTCAACTTTCTGTCATAACAAATACCTGAGATAATCTGTTTACAAAAAGTTTATAATTTATAAAACTTAACTTTTGTAAGTTTATCCTTTCTGTTTCTCTTTTGCAAAAATAGCTATTATAAGTTTATAAACGTATGTAATCAACCTGTAAGCGTTTATAAAGAGAAAAGATTTATTTTGGCTCACAGTTTGGGACGTTCCAGTCCCTGTTCTGTTGGCCTCATTGTTCTGGGCTCACATCAGGCTGGGCAGTGCGTGGAGGCGCAAAACCAAACCCAGGCACCCCAGTGAGCTAAAGACCTCCCTCCCACAACCCCAGCCGTGTAGTTTCCACCACCTTCCAGCAGCACCAGTTGGCAACCAGTCTTTGCACACAGAGGATACTCTGGATCCAGACTGTAGCTCCCGTGTGTGTACACAAGTTCACTGTTTCCGACCCAGCTCAGCACCACAGGTAGTGTTCTTGTTCTCCTTCCCATATTGATAGCTCCCTTTTCTGTAGCAAGAAACTTGACTCCCATTCTCAATACATCATCAGCTCAGTTCTACAATATACTAGGGAATTGGTAACACATAGCATTACAAGAAACAACCGAGGACTTACAGTTCAATATTTGTTTCTAGTTCTTTTTTTTTTTAGAAGAAACTATATAGTCAGAGTATTGTATTTCAAAGTTACTCAGGTAACTTTTTAACCTTTTAATAGGATTCCATCATTGATGTCACATTGGTTTGTTTGTATCTGATTGTTTTACTTGAAGGTTTTTTCATCACCTCTTTAATTTTGATTAAAGAAAAAGAGAACATTAACATGGTTGACAAATCATAACTACACAGAAAAGATTCAGGAGAGTCATTGCTGTCATCTCATCCCTGCTTGCCTGGTCCCACCCAGCTGCCTAGGGAAACATCTCCCTAGTTTCTGGTCTATCCTTCCCTGTATTCTCTTTTGCAAAAATAATTAGATGCATGTGTATTCTATTTCCCATTGTTTCTTCTATAAAAGGTGGTGTATATCTGTATTCTTTTATGTTTTCACTTAATATGTTAAATTTTCTTCATTTTTCTTTTTAGATTGCCAAAGGGGAGTACTGATATACAGCTGCATTATCTTATTGTATACCAAATGTTCATCATGCTTTCTGCATAGGAAGAACTTACATTTTTCCACACTAAAAAAATGTTGCAAAACAAATTTTAAACAGCTTTAAATAAGCTTAATAATCTCTTAGTTAACAGTGCTTAAAATTCTGTCTGTGATGACGTTCCTCCTTAGTTACTATTACTAAGACTGCTTAGTTCAGACTTGGAATTCTGATTTGGCCTCTTGAGTGGCTGTTTGACCTTGGACTTCTTTTCCTCTCTGTAAATAGTGGTAGTTGTGGGATTTTAATGAATATGTGTGTGGGAAGTATTGAACACTGAATTACCTGATACAGTGCTTGTTCTCACTATTCAGGGAAGATTTCATGTAAGAATAAAATTCAGGAAAGAGAATTAGGTAGAGATGATTGATTCTCCATTTGCTGAATAATAGATCCTGGATGGCTTTGGAGAAGATCCAAGGTTTGGAATGTGCAGAGGGTGCAGAGGTATTTGATATCTCAGCTGAGAATTGAAGAATAAGTATTTGTTTTTAAATAATCTTATGAGTGACATTCTATTAGGCCATTTATGGCAGTGATAGCATATTGAGTGAAAAATATTGTTGAGCTTGAAGGGTGGAATAAATCCATTCTATTGTACTGTGGCCAAATTATCCTAAAATCTATGTGACAGTAAAACATTTTAGAATGAGAAGCCACTTTCTGCTCTTGAAGATGTGCATGTGGAAGGGTTGTTGGCTTGGATTCTAACTTTGTCTCAGATACACATTGTTTTTACATGTTTGCAATTAGTGTCTCTAAACTGGAGCTTCGTGTCTCTGCAGGGATGCCTCTGCACTGCTGGACCCCATGGAGTGCACAGATACAGCAGAGGAGCAGCGGGTACACAGTCCTCCTGCCTCATTAGTGCCAAGAATTCATGTGGTTTTGGCCCAGAAGTTGCAGCACATCAATCCATTGTTACCTGCCTGTCTGAACAAAGAGGAGAGCAGAACCTGTAAGTGTAAGTGTTAAAGCACAGTGAACCACAGATTCTGTTTCCCCTCCATCTGTGTCCACAGCTGCCTGTGACTTGTGCTCTTAATGGAATTGAAAGGGCCTCATTTATCTTCAGTAGTGTATTGCTTTGCCCCGTTTGCCCCTTCCTTTCATTGAAACGAGACCCAAAAAAAGAACAGTATATAAAGCCACCTTAGTTTTAAGATTGGCATAACTATTGGTCAGTATTCTACGTTCACACCAGCCATCTACTGAATTGAAGTGCTTTCTTCACCAAGTCAGCTTTGCTCTGAGCCTGGAGAGGAGCTGGCATGTGCATTCTGGACCTGTCTTCCTTCCTTTTGCAGTTGTGTCAAGTTTCCTGTCCGAATTATCTCCAGTCAGAGCAGAACTGCTAGGGTTCCTCACTCATGCCCTTTTGGGAGACAGTTTGGCAGCTGAGTACCTTATATTACATCTCATCTCTACAGTGTAAGTGCTGTCTGTAGTTCTGGTGAGAATTAAGGGAATAATTGGGTGTGGTTCAGAAGTATGGAAAAGAGCAGGATGATTTCTGATGTAATTTGTGTTTTTCAATTCAGGCTTCGTAAAGTGCTTTTTGTTCTGTGTAGTAAGTGTTATACCAGATCACAAACAATCCTTTTGTTACCTTTTTTCGGGTTCACATTTAGCATTTTGATTATGTTCCCTTAGATATTAGAACCAAAGTCAGATAAAAGACTTGGCTGATAAGTAAAATGTAAGCTACTTTATCCTTTATCCTTTCTTTTTTAAAAAATTTGCGGTGCTGGGCTCAAACCCAGGGCCTTGGGCATGCTAGGCAAGTATGCTACCACTGATCCACGTCCCGAGCATCCTTTTTGTGTTCTGAGTCCTGTTTATTCAGAGCAAGTCTCTGCTTCTAAAAACAGTCAACAAGGTACGTCGTGTGCACGTTTAATCTATACGTTGACATTAGCACCTCACCCTTTGACTCCATTGTTGTTTTTCCTGATTTCAACAGTAATGTTTTGCTTCAGCAAGTTCTAAGAACACAAAAAAAGAAAATAGCATTCATCTGTAATCTCACCAGAGAGATAATCTCAGTTATTTATGATTTTTTTGTTTATAAATTTGTGCTGTATATACCTATACATTTAAACTCCCAAATACAAATCTATATCTTGCTTTCAGTACTTGTTTATAAAACATTTTTCTAATAAAAAAATTTTTGCTGTAATTCTCTGTGAATTTTTCAGTGGCTGCATATTATTTCATTAAACAGCTGTCTCATGTTGTACCCATGTCCCTCAGTGGTAGGTTTTCGTAGTTTTTCTCTATAATAAATAGCATTGCAGTGAACACCTTTTTCCTATGAATCTTTCCTTGGCTGGGATCTGAGACAATAAGTACATAATGGTTGATTTTCAGATCCTTTCTCTGTTGCCTTATGGCTAGATGAGTGTGTTGCAGGTTGAACGTACCTAATCCCAAAACCTGAAATGCTCCAGTCTATAAAATATTTTGAGAGCTGATATTGTGGAGCATTCAGGTGCTCAACCAGTAAAGCATATGTAAATACTCCAGAATCTGAACCACTTCTGGTCTCAGGCATTTTGGATAAGGGATAGTAACCTATACTCTGATCCTCATATTTCTTATCTGTAAAACGAATATTTCCTAGCTCAGTCTGTTTGGAAATTAGATGAAAATGCGGAGCTAGGAATGTAGCTCCGTGGTAGAGTGCTTGCCTAGTGTGGACAAGGCACTGGGGTTGATCCCCGGTACTGCAGGAAATCAAGGGAGGGAAGAAAGTGGGGGGGATGAGCGTTCAGTCATCCCTGGTATGTGATTAGCACTTGATATACAAGTATTGGCTATTATTTTAACTGTTGTTCTAATACATAAAACAGCTATTTAGAGTATTCTATATTTTAATGGAAATATTAAAGTGGATTTTTATTTAACATTTTGTGGAAATCATTTCAATATCTTATTTATTGATTTTTTTTTTCCTTAGATACACAAGAAGAGATGTTCTTCCACTGGGAAAATTTACTGTGAACCTGAGTGGTTGCCCACGGAATAGTACCTTCACAGAACATTTATATCGAATTATTCAACATCTTGTTCCAGCAGTAAGATCAATATAGATAGGAATTATAAACTGAAGCATACATCAAATCCACCTAATTGCCTTTTATTCAACCCAAATATTTAACATTGAGGTTTTTTTTTTTTTGGTACCGGGAATCAAACTCGGGTCCTTGTGCTTGCAAGGCAGGGAGCGGAACCACTGAGCTAAATCACCCAGCCCAACATTGAGATTTTAATAGATCTTACTGGATGGGAAACAAAGCTTGCCAAGTTACATAATTTAAAATGTATGGTTTCCTAAATGTTTCACATATATTCCTTGGTACAAATTTTTGTGAGTCTAACAACACAATTAGAGTAACTTATTTAAAATTGTACTCTGTGTTGATGCCAAGTTGTGCAATTTAATATCCTTTGTAATGCATTAGTCTTAAATCTAAATAAGCTCTAAATTTTAGGAGCCTAATTCTTTCAGCTGAGGTTAATAAAGATCTCTATCCTCATTGCTCCAGTTTTAATTCCTGTTTGGAAAGTTGAGCTGCCTTTATTTCCCGGGACATCTGAGTGTAGTGTTTGTGTATGGCAGGGTCTTGGGAACAGGGGAACTGCTTCTGATTAGTCGTGTGACTGAAAATACTAGTCACCTCTCACTTTGAGCGGTCCAGAAGTTGAGCCAGGTCACCCACTCATCCAGTGTGGAGTGCCAGCACTCCTAGGCCCTCCAAGAGCAACAGTGGGCGGAACAGACAGGTAGTTCTCCTCCTGACCAGAGGACTCAAATTGCTGTGGGGTCTACTTTTGAATTCCCAAATTAGAAATTAAAATTGGAGGGCTGGGGGTGTAGCTCAGTGGCACCTGCCCCTGCCTCACAAGTGCAAGATCCTGAGTTTGATCCCCAGTACAAAAAAGGAGAGAGAAATTAAAATTGATTCTTTCTCTTTTTTTTTTTGGTACCAGGGATCAAACTTAGGACCTTGCATTTGCGAGGCAGGCACAGTGCCACTGAGCTAGATCCCTGGCCCTAAAATTGAAAATAGGTTAAAATACTAATTCATTAGAAATAATTACATAGAAACATAAGTATTTTAATAAAAACATCCCAAACCAAAATTATTAGTAATAAGTCACATTTTTTACATTTTTACAAATCTCTTTAATATCTGGGTTAATAGACCACTAAGTTTTTATGTCTATTTTCTGTTATAACACAATGTTTTTATTGAAGTATATTTTCTTTAATGGTAGTTGAAGTGTGTGGTCTGAAAACCTATCATTGAAATTTTCATGTTCTGTTGTTATAAAATTCATTGGTCTGTCTTGCACACTGAAAGAATCTAAATTAAATCCTGATTTTTATCCCATGAACCACATAAAACGGTCTCAGCAATTCCCTAGGCCCTGTAGCACTTTTTGAGAGTTAAATTAATCCACGGTAGGTCATTGAAGTGCCCTGCAGAACTGTGAGACCTTCAGGAGGTGAAGATGGATAGCACTAGCAGTGGACAGGGAGGAGCTACTGGTGCCTAGGGACAGGGAAGGCCTAGCTCAGAGGTGGTGTTCAGGAGACAGCACCAAGCCTGGAGGCTGCTCAGGGGAAGTTTCCATTCTGTGGCGAGAACAGTGCCAGGGGCTGAAGAGCTGTGTGTTTGCCAGCATGAGGCTTGAGGGCATGTCTCCCAACACCATTTTCATAGAATCATTGAGCCATAGTACAAAACTCCTCTGAATTTTGATTCTGTGTTTTACCTTTTCCTCAACAAGCTTCCCCCCACCCCGCATACTTCCATTCCAGCTTGTGTGGTAGGAGAGCAGAGGGGTCTAGAGCAGAGTGAGGGACATTATGAGGATGGGCATGGCAGTGGAGGCAGTGTCACTGACTTAGCAGATTCCAGTGCATTGGCACTGTCAGTTGAGAGATCTGCAGCAGCGAGCCATGGCTTAGTGTGCTCTCTTCCTAGATACTAGGCTATGACAAATGAATATGGTTCTCCCTGTGTTTTGGGGTTAGGACCCCCCTGGGATTTGAATCCAGGGCCTTGTGCCGACTAGGCCAGTGCTCTGTTACTGAGTTATTTTTTATTTTGAGGCAAGGTCTCACTAAGTTGCCCGGTCTGGCCTTGAACTTGCCATCCTCCTGCTTTAGCCTAGCAAGTAGTTAGAATTATGGGCATGCACTACTGCACTATGCCTTTCTTCTTGACTTGGAAAAAATTTATTTTCTGTTTTCCTAGCTTATGCTCGGTTAAAGAAGTTCAGCCTCTGGATATTTGATATATGTATGTCTGTTTTCTACCATTTGTAGAAATTGGCAAAATCAAATTATTCTTCAAGATTATTGAACAGGACATTTGAGAATAAAGCAGCTCATTGAATGAAATTCTAATGCATGATATAGACAATATTTTTCCTTCTAAGAGTTCCAGAAAGCACATCACTCTACCCCTAGATATTTATAAGATCATTGTATTTGTCTTTTCTTTGGTTTTAGGGGGGTTTTTTGGTACCAGGGATCGAACTCGGGATCTTGCGCTTGCAAGGCAGTGGTGGCACCACCGAGCTAAACCCCCAGCCCATAGGTCATTGTATTTGAAACATAGTGTTTTAATTCCCAGCATACATATATATATTATTAAAACAGAGAAACAGATCCTTGCTCATTAAAAAATCTCTTGCAGTCTTTTCGTCTACAGATGACTATAGAGAACATGAACCATTTGAAATTCATTCCCCATAAAGACTACACAGCCAATCGCTTGGTCAGTGGACTCCTCCAGCTGCCCAACAACACTTCCCTGGTCATTGATGAAACTCTGCTGGAGCAAGGGCAGTTGGACACCCCAGGTACATACACGGATATTTCCCCTCCTTTTCTGACTTCCCTCTGTTAAAGTCAGATCTGTTAATGACTTTTTTTTAAAAGGCTGTCTGTGGAAAAAGACATTCAACAGATATTTAAGGGAAAGACATGTGCACTTGATTAAAGCATATGTTATAAATTAATTGTGCTTACCAGCTTTTCTATTACGATATTCTGAAAATAGTATAGGAGTAAAATACTAATTTAAGTGCTTACATGGGAAGAAGTTTTCCCTTAATTATGTTACCTCAAAAGAGAATTATAAAAAAATCTAATAACATTCATGTTGCCTTTTTTTTTTTTTTTTTGAGACGGGGTCTCGCTGGCCTTGAACTATCTAGCACAGGCTGGCTTCAAACTAGCGGCAATCCTGTCTCAGCCTCTCACGTGCTGGGATTACAGGTGTGCGCCACCACACCCAGCTCATGTGAACTTTTGAAAACATTTTTAGGGTTCGGAATGCAGTTCAGTGGTGGGGTACTTGCCTTGCATGTGGGAGGCCCTGGCTCCAGTCCCCAGCACTACAAAAATAAATAAATCACCATTTTTCAGAGCATCTCTGGAAAAATATTTAGTAGATCAGATTATTTGAACTAACCTCAGTTGTGGAATATGTTTTCAAATCATAAAGTACCAGGCATGGCGGTGTATGTCTGTAATCCCAGCTACTCAAGAGATGGAAGCAGGGCTGGGGATTTAGCTCAGTGGTTCTGCCACCTGCTTCACAAGTGCAAGGACCAGAGTTCAATCCCTGGTACCAAAAAAAAAAAAAAAAAAAGGTGGAAGCAAAAGGATTGCAAGTTCCAGACCAGGCTGTGAAACTTATTGAGTCTCTGTCTGAAAATAAAAACAGTGTTTTTAAAACACTGGGGATATAGCTCAGTGGTGATATGCATGCCTAGCATGCATGAGGCCCTGGGTTCATTCTCAGAGCACACACGCACACAGAACAAGAAAGAGTGCTTAGATAAAGAGACTACAAGTGACACTTTGTTGGTGAGAAGTTCAGGAAGTAAAGATAGAAGGAAAAATGTAGATGGGGAACATTAAAGGAAGAAGTGGTACAAAATCATCAAAATTCAGTACCCTTACCTACATACAGAAATAATTACAGTCCCACCATGTAACTTCAGCCCTATGACTGTACCACCTAGGAAGTAATCTTGCTTGCTGAGAGCCCATTGTTGTCTGGTAGTGTATTAGACACTAGGCATTAGATTTGCTTAGTGACATTCAGCTTAGTATAATCAGTGCCTCATATCCGTTCTATAAGCCCTAGAAACTTCATGTCTTGTAATTATTGTCAGCTAAGCCAAACTAATCTGTGTAGGTGATTAAAATCAAGTAATTGAAAGTTTGTTCTTGCTCTTGTAGGTGTTCATAATGTGACTGCCCTGAGCAACCTGATAACCTGGCAGAAGGTGGATTATGACTTCAGTTACCACCAGATGGAATTCCCCTGCAGCATCAATGTTCTTATCACCTCAGAGGGGCGGTCACTCCTCCCTGTACCATGAGTCTTTTTTTTTTTTTCCCCCTCCCCCCCACCCCAGTACTGGGGCTCGAACTCGGGTCCTTGCACTTTCGGGGCAGGCAGCGGAACCACCACGAGTCATTTTTAAGCGGAGAGGGGGTTACATTTGGAAAAGATAGCTACATTTTTGTTGTTTCTTGGGGATGCTTATTAATAGTTACATTTGTCTTAAGAAATTGTAATTGCAGATTATTAATAAGGGAAGCAATTATTTTGTTCTGACTTGGGGTGAAAACTTAAATTTATGAAGAACCCAGCCAGCAGGGTCAGGGATTTAGCTGAGTGGTGCTGCTGCCTGTCGATAGCCGCAAATCTCATGATAACCAAGGCTGTTGGCAGCAAAAACTTCTACATGTAGGCATAAAAAGTAGATGTTATCTGTAAATTGCCTGATTTACTTCCAGGCTACTGTTCTTGCTGTCTCTGTCCCATTGTTTTCTGCTTGTCTTAGGTGAAAATATTCTAGAGTTCCTTCTAAAATATCCCTAATCGCTTGGTAATGAGTTTTTTTGCTTTATGGTGAAATTCTCTGTTCATCAGAATGTCTTATCAGAGCTTTTAATTCTGAGGATGATGAGAAATACTCTCAGGCATTTAAAAGGTGTGCAGTTTGTATAATACAGTGTTTACCTGTGATTGATGAGAAACACCCTTTGACTAAAATAATTTTCTGTGGAAAACTATTAGAGCTTGCCTATCTTTTCATATGCTTATACCATTTAGGAAACATAACCAAGAAAAAGCTAACTATTGTTTTGGTAGTTACAATGAGTGTAAATATTGAAAGCTGATTCCTGATCCTCCGCCAGTAGTATTTAGTGATGTCCTTAGGAGCTGATAGTCTGCATCCTCCTTAAAGTGTAATTTAACCTAGGAAATTTTGTGTGCAATTTTTCTTTTCAGGCAGACTGCCAGATCCACTTACAACCCCAGCTAATGCCACCCAATATGGAGGAGTACATGAACAGCCTTCTCTCCACAGTGCTGCCTTCTGTATTGAACAAGTTCCGCATCTTCCTGACCCTTTTGAGATTCCTGGATTACAGCATATCTGATGAAATAACCAAGGTACTTTCAGGGTTAAATCAAGGATTTCCCTGTGTTGAATTGTAGTGTTTAACTCAATTCACATTTGCTGTAGTTATCAGTAAGGTAAATTTGCTATTTGTGTACTATCTCTTTCCTCCTCCTTCCTCTAGTCTTCCATTATTCCTTTCTCTTGCTTGAAGTAGGTTGGTTTGGGGTTTTTTTTGGTACTGGGGATTGAACTTGGGACCTTGCACTTGTGAGGCAGGTGGCAGCACCACTGAACTAAACCCCCGGCCCTGGTTTGGTTTTTTTAGACAAGGTGTCCGTATGTATTCCATGCTGACCTTAAACTTAAAATCCTCTTCAACTCTCCTGAGTACTGGGATTACAGGTGTGCACCACCATTCCTGAAATTTCATCACTTTTTCCTCTCCTCTCTCTGGTACTCTCATTATGAGTATGTCAGTGCACTGAATGGTATCCCACAGGTCTTTGAAGTTCTGTTCATTTTTCATTGTTCTCTTTTCTTTCTGTCTCACAGAATGGATAATTTCAGCCTATCTTCTGGTTTGCAGGTTCTTTTCTTGTACCTGCCTAAATCTGCTGAGCACCTCTAGTGAATTGTTTTTTTAATTTCTATTTGCTTATTCTATTTGGTGAGACATTGTTCTCATGTTTTCCTTTAGTTATTTAGTTTAGGGGAAACAATAGTTTCCCCTTATTCAAGAATGATACATCCAAAGATCCCTAGTGGGTCCCTGAAACCAAAGATAGCACTGGTCCCTACCTATGTTGCTTTTCCTATGTGTACCTAACTATGACAATCATTTTTTTGGTACCAGGGATCGAACTCAGGACCTTGTGTTTGCAAGGAGGCATGGTGCCATTGAGCTAAACCCTAAGTTGTCATAGTTAGACAATTTAATTTGTGTGTTCGACACAAAGATAACAACAACTGCTAATAAAATAGAGCCATTATAACAACGTATTATAATGAAAGTTATGATGGCTGTGGTCTGTCAGCTGCCATGGGGCAGTTAGCATACCCAGTGTTACTGTGCTAGACACAGCGATGGTCCGTGTTCCAGGCAGAGCAGAGCAGGCCAGGGTGAGAGCAGGTCATCATGCCGCCACTCATGAGAATGGCACACAAGTGGGTGGGGGCTGGGGCAGTCGAGTGTGACAGTTCTTTCCCCAGAGCTTTTGTCAGAAACCAGCAGACGCAAATGTTAATCATCTTGGCTACCTGAGACACTATATAATGGTAGCAGCAAATAAAAGGCTAACCAAAAGCCTTAAATGGAAAGAAAAGCTGGGGTCCTTTGTGTTAAGCTACAGGCCAGCCCTTTTTTTATTTTTTAGTTTGAGACATGTTAAGTTGCCTGGGACGGGGTCAAACTTGCAATCCTTGTGGTTCAGCCCCACACAGTGCTGGGATTACAGGCATGCACCACTACACCCAGCAGCACAATTTAAAGCTTATGTTTGCCAGCCTAAAATCCCAGCATTTGGGAGGCTGAGGCAGGAGGATCGCTGTGAGTCTGAGGCTAGCCTGGGTACAGAGTGAGACCCCTGTCTCAAACCCCCTCAGTCCAAAAAAAAAAAAAATCGATCAGTAAAGCTTATGTATATTTCTTGACTTTTCCATCAATATTTTTAGACTGCAACTGACTGCAGGAAACTGAAACATCTTAAAGCAAAACGGTAAATTGGGGTGGGTTGCTATACATGGTTTCCTTTATGACTTTGATGATATTGAGAAAGTCCTAGTAAATTCTGTTTGGGTTTTCTCATGGACAGTTTCTTTTGACTCCTTTTTTTCACAATGTGGGCTGTACCTTCTTATTTCTTTGCATGTCTCCTAATTTTTTTGTTGATGACTGGACATTTAAAATAAAGTAGTAACTTCAGGAAGCCAGATTCTGGGGATGAAACCTCACTAGAGTTTGTTGTGATTGGCTATTTAGTGACTCTGTAAAATCTTATTTTTGGAGGGGGGGGTTGTTTGTGATTGAACCCAGGGCCACCTATCCAAGTGCTGTGTCACTGAGGGCCTCTCCCCGACCCCTGGTATCTATTTCATCCCCCAACTTTTTTTTCTATTTAAAGCTTTTAGTTAGCCTGGGTCCCCCCCGACCTTGGTACCAGGAATCAAACTCAGGACCTTGCATTTGCCAGACAGGTGTGGCACTGCAAAGCTACATCCCCGGCCCTGTTAGCCTGTTACTTGCTGTAGCCATTATACAGTGTCTCAGGCAGCTAAGATGATGAACACTTGCATCTAATAGTTTCTGACAAAAGCTCTGGGGAAAGAGACTGTCAACTGACCATCCTCTAAGTCAGGAGGATAAAGACAGCCTTGCACATGGGCTCCTCCAGGAAGTCAGCACAAGGTCAGATGGATAGTGACAGTTGGTGCATTGAAGGAACCACGGCCCGGGGCTACTGGTTTTCACAGCTGTCACCTGGCATGCAGGGAGAGGTGGGCTATGGGAACAGAGCAAAGTCAAATTACTACAAAGCTCAACATTCTTACCAAGAATCACTTGGTGTTCTCGTATAAATGTTCCTGAGATTGCAGTGTCTAGTTTATTTCCGGATTTTGAAAAGGCTGGAGGCATCATTCTTTGAAACTACTACTCTTCCCTGTTTAAAGGCATCATGTTTATTACTTGAGTTGCATAGCCTTCTCAAGTGGATTCAAATTTTTAGAATATTAGCATCTGTATATATATTTTCAAATATAGTATTTGTTCTCTTTCTTTTCACCCATGTGCCTCATTTGTCTATGGCAGACACTGTCATTTTTACATCAACACTTGGTGCTTCTTATTCCTTATAAAAATAAGGAAATGGTCTTAAAGTATATTTGAAGTTTTAAAGGAGTACCCTAACCCTAAAGGACATGTGCTCTTTTGATAAAGGCAGTTGAAGATGACTTCGTGGAGATGCGTAAGAATGACCCCCAGAGCATCACTGCGGATGATCTCCACCAGCTGCTGGTGGTAGCTCGGTGAGTAGTCCAAGCTCCTAATTGCTTTTTCTGAAGGCCGTGCGGTAAGTCTCCTGATTTATGCAGCAATAGCTGAGGCAGACTTCAAAAACTAGAAAGGAGCTTTCCTTTCAAAGATGCCTTATGAAAGGACTCACTGTGGAGTGGGTTGGTCAGTGGTCACCTCGGGGCAGCAGGCCTGCCACATGTCCTCTAAGCTTCTTGAAGTTCTGACTCTTCAGGGATTCCCTTAGAGAAGTCTTAAGTTGGCTCTTGACTTGTGTATAGTTGCCAGACAGTGTTGCCTCCCAATTTGGGCTGTGTCTTTAGAAAATATTCCTAGCCAGGTGTGGTGGTATACACCTATAATCTCAGCACTCAGGAGGCTGAGGCAGAGGATCACCACAAGTTTGAGAACAACCTGGGCTACATAGTGAGTTTAAGGCCAGCCTGAACTACACAGCAAGACTCTGTCTCAAAAAAGAAAAAAAAAAAGTATTCCTAGGTCTTAAAACTTTTACTTAGCATCCTAGCTCTAGACTTAAATTTGTTTGTTTCAAACCAGGTTTCTGTCTCTGAGTGCTGGTCAGACAACGCTGTCACGAGAACGGTGGCTAAGAGCCAAGCAGCTAGAGTCTTTAAGAAGAAACAGGCTTCAGCAGCAAAAATGTGTGAATGGAAATGAACTTTAAAGTTCTGATACCCATGAAGATTGATGGGCAAACGGTAGCCACGTTATTGTAAAATTCAAATGTCATTTGTACCACATTGTTTTATAGATAATTTGTATCAAAAACCAATGACTTTTCCTGAAGTCAGGCCTGGTAACATCTGAAGTTTATATGATACCTCAGTAAGGGCTTTTACCTTGCTGATTTTATGGAGCTTTTGGAGTTTGTTTTATAATTATATAAATCAGTTACAATGTACAAAAATATTTGATATTAAAGTTTAATAATGATGATGTTGCTGGTTATACCATTTCCTTAGCTACAGCAAAGTCATAGGCCAGACTCTGTTGAAATGCTGTTAACTTCATTTGAAGAAAACTATTGCAATTTCAAAGGTGAAGGAATTTTGCACTTCAGATTTCTGTCTTTCCATTTAATAGTGGGTCTGAGTCTGTTCAGTAGTCAGGTTTGGGGAATGGGGCAAACCTGCCATAGATTCATATATGGGACACCAAGACAACTGGCAGCTGACAGAAACCTTCCACTTAACAGTTAGCCTACAAAACTAGTCATTTACATGGAAGTGGTTCCCAAACTTTTTAATTTTATGAACCAGCAGTATTTTTTTTTTTAAATTGGGGATAATGTTGCCAATTTTCTTGACATGTAATCTGAAAGCAATCTCTTTATTACCATAAAAGGATAAACAGCCTAGTGTGATGGCACATGCCTGTAATCCCAGCATTCTGAAAGTCTGGGGCAAGGGGCTGGAGTTTGAGACCACACTGGGCAACTTGGTGGCTTTCTCAACAGGAAAAAATTTAAAAAGGGATAGGAGTGTAGCTCAGTGTGAAGGCCCTAGGTTCAATCCCCACTACCTCGCCAAAAAGGTTTTGTGGGGTTTTTTTCCAGAACAAAAGATAGTACCTTAAATGGAATAAATGTAACTTTTGGAGAATACTACATTGTCTTCATTTCTCATTATATCCCAGCACATTCAAAAACCACAGCTTTATGGGATTCATTTAAAGGAACACTGCTCTATGAAGCTTCACCTAAATATGAGAAAAAAAAATAGTAAATTTAAAAACTAATGCCCTCTTTAGAAAGCTTGGTTTTTGACAATGTTGGGGATCAAACCCATACCCTCTCTCGTGTGCTAGGCAAAGCCTATACAAGCGGGGGTGAACCTATGGCATGCATGCCTCAGCTGGCTGTTTGTTACCATTGAAAGCTCTAAAAGGTTTGCCATCACTTGCCCTATGCCAGTGAGCTACATCTCCAGCCCAGAAAAAGACTCCTGATGTCATTCAGTTGCTTTGAGGATATTAGATTTTGAGTTTTATGTAAGTTTACCAGTTCCCATTATATTAGATCAAATTATCTGCCAGTCCAGTAAAGGCCTGAAACAATTATAGGTAAGCTTTCCCTGACCCCATTAGTTTTGATAAATACAGTTTTTTAAGGAACAAAAATACTACCCACAGAGAACAAATTAACATACCATAGTATAAAATTGTGGCAACAAGAATCTTCAGAAAGGTTCGAATATTACTTTTTAAAGACATCGATGTGTATAAAGATTAAATTTTTTCCGTCAGTAACTTACCTAGTTGGAAACAAATCAAATGATTCCTTAAACTTTTTTCCTATAAGGAAGACTTACATTGACGTTGTTAACCAAGGAAACAGGGTCAGCCTTGAAAAATCAAGGAATTCATTATGCTTAGTGAAGGGAAATAAAAATTAGCTGGTGGTTCAATATTCTTTTCCTAAATTCAAATCTATTTTTATAAACTAATGTAAATAATGTTTATATTAGAATTCTAACTGGTTTTCATTTTTATAACTGGTAGACTAGACCTTCCTTAAAACTTTTAGAAATAAAATGAAGGTTCAACTGGATTTGTGAGTAAAATAATTTTCTTTATCCTTGAACAAAGTAGATTAGTTACCATTGTGTCTAATTGTGCCAATGTAAAATGTAATCTACCAAAGAGAAATCCTAATTTTGCTTGGTCTTGCAGAAAAGTTCAGTGAAAGAACCCTCTTTCCAGTAAATAAACTTTCCCAAATTACCAGTTCCTCGGGCTGTTTTTTATGAATTCTAAGATTCACCAACCTACTTAATGTTCTATGTGGGAAAGCCTCATGTTCTTAGAAAAACATTTCAAGGGTAAATTGAAGGATAGGTTCTACCCAAGTCACTTTTCTCCCTTGCCCACACACATGGATATTCTAGTTTGTTGCTCTAATTTAAGGCAAGCTGTTTAATCCTGTTTGGGTTTTCTTTGGTACCGGGGATCAAACTCCAGTCCTTGCGCTTTCAAGAAAAGCTTCGGAACCACTGAGTTAAATCCCCGGCCCTGTTAATCCTGTTTGAATGACAAAGAAATTGAACAGATACTATACAGTATATCCCTGCTTGGAACTAAACTGCCGTAAGGTAACTAGTATTCAGAAATCTCTTTGGAATTCATCCTTTGGAACATGAACATGCATATTTTCTCACCTTGGCTTGTATTTTCTCTGGTGTTGTGAAGCAATTTTCAAGACCCAGAAGTTGGTAAGAACAGAATAAAGCATTCACTTTTGAATATATGAAATTGAAAATGTTTTGTGATTCAATTTCTCATTTTTGAAATCATAAGAGACTTCAGAATAAGATAACTGGAAAAGTTCACAAGTGTTCAGTTATCAGGTTACCTTATATTTTTTTGTTTGTTTGGTTTTTTGGTACTGGGGATTGAACTGGGGACCTTGCGCTTGGGAGGCCGAGGCAGGCGGCAGAACCACTGAGCTAAATCCCCAGCCTGATACCTTACTCTTATCTAAAATCAAACCGTTAAAATGTTATGCAAGGAATTCTCATACACATTGTCACTTTACTGGTACTTTTTAATAGTCACAAGATTTGACACATCAAAAAAATACCACTAATAAATAACAAAAACGGAATGTTTATCAAAGTTACGACATACTGTTCAGCTAAGAATCACTTCAATAGAGTAAGGCTCTAAAGATAGCAGAGAAACCAATACTTGCTGGACTGTGCTGTGCAGCTTTCTTCCTGTGTGGGTTGGTTATACAGGTGGCTCTGGCTCTCCATGGTCAGGATTATCATCATAAAACCAGTTTTCACACAACAGTGTTTCAAACCAAATTTTCACAAGTTGGAGTAGTGTGTACCAGATGTTGAGGAATGTCCTGGAAAAGTTAAAACTTGAAGACTTTCAGAATTTCTGATAGCCAATACATTCTTTAAAGAGAGCAAGATAAAATGGGTACCACCAGATACATTTGATGCACTGGGTTTACTTTACAACAGGCAAGTCAGCGTGTCTCAATTTGAAGACCACAGGTGACAGAATAATTCAAGTTAGAATATAAGGTGTGTACTTTTTTTTTTCTTGGTACCATTGATCGAACTCGGGTCCTTGTACTTATGAGGCAGGCGGCAGAACCACTGAGCTAAATCCCCGGCCCTTGAATATGGGGAAAGTTAGGATCAAATGAGTTTTTAACTACAGCATTAGTAATCCTCAACTCTTCACAGGGAATGGTTAAGTCATAAAAATTTTTTATAGTCATGCTTCTCCATTCTAAATTCACTAAACTAAATGGTACCTTGTAGAGGTAATAAACAGGAATGAACTGACAAAAATGCTACTCTCAAATGGGCCCATGTCCATTCCTTGTGTCTACTTCCTATACTTCATCCCCCCCTTCACCCAAAAAATACCCACTTCAGGTTCTATACCAAACTGACCTGTTCCTGAATTACTTTCAAATGAATAAACTGCTCTGTAGTTTTGTAGTGTATATGCTACTCAGGTCTACACAATGTAGGATGACACAGCCTAGTCTTGGCTCTCAAATCTGGAAATCTCAAGTTCAACCTCCTCTGAAGACCCTTCCCAATAACCAGAATTGGTGATCCCTAGATTCAAACAATACAAGTTAAAATAGCCTAATATGTGAAAACATTTTAAAATAAAACACGATTCTTTGTGGCTAAAATCTAAATCTGGATTATTCTTGTCTGGCATTGTGTAAACATATTTTTAAGTTCATTTTGTTGGACTTCATTAACTACTTCAGGTTCTGCAGGACTCTTCTGAACTTTGGCTACTGCCAGGTTTATCCCATGGGTGAACCCAGCTTGGGTAATACTAGCAACCTGGACCATGGAGCTGCGAATCTTTGCAAAGGGAGAGACTGCTCTGCTGCTACTGTTCTCAGAAGGAGAAGGAGTTACACGATGCCCTGCCTCAAGTTCCATGCTGAGACCAGAGCTGGGAGTCTTTTGAGATACAACTGAATGAACTGGTTCAACTGACAAAAATTGGGGGCCTGTCCCAGAAGACACATCTAAATGAGATGGCCGAGAAGGTGTCTGTTCCGTTGATTCTGATTGAGTTTCTTCATTAGAAACTTGATTGGTCATTTGATTTCCTTCCTCACTAGCTTGCTGAGACCCAGACTTGGTCTCTGACGGCTCAGTCATTTTGTTTTGTGCATCTTGGACAAATCTGTGGCAGTAAATATCCACAGGCTTAGCAAAGCCAGTCAATATGTGTATGTTGTCAGAAGGGCTCTTGTTCAAAGGAGACTCCTGGCCTTTTCCAAGCCCACTTCCATGAGCAACAGTGACCTCTGAAGGAGCATGAATACTAATATCAGTGCTGCTAATAGACTGAGATCGACTGCCTAATCGAGGTGCTGAAGCAATAATACCACAACTAGGAAGAACATAATCGATCAGCCCTACATTCTCTAAAGAATTAGCCAGCTGCTTGTCTTCATCCGACTTGGAATTGGTAAGGAATTCATCAGAGTGGTATGAGTCATCTGAAGACATGTCCTCATCAGACTCTGCCTGGACCTTATTATCCATCACTCCCGAGTTTTCTATAGTCTCAAGACTACTATCTGATTTCCAAAGGTTGACTTTTAAGTTTGGTTTTAGAAAATTAACTTTCATTTCAGGTTTTGTAAAGTTTCCTAATTTTCGTAGGTTGCCAATATTTACATTGGATTTGGTCTGTTTCACTTTTTGATTTAGAGAGGAAAATTTGCTCATTAAAAAATTCTTCCCCTGGGCCAAAGAGCCTTGGTTTTGAGATCTGATACCAATGATTCCTTCATGAGGTTTACTGCTCTTCCTGTAAATTAGAAGAAAAAAATGTTAGTAGCCCATGGACTCATATACCTGTTTTAATTAATATGAAAATGCTTTGCTTATTTAAACTGGTCCCAGTTTTCTTGAAAACAGTGCGTTGCTAACATAATCCACCCCTTTGAGTTTGTTTTGGATTGTAACTAGATGTCCCCCAAAGCCTCATGGAGTCATAGGTGGGGCTTTTTGGAGATGGCTGGATCTAGGGTGTGTGACATGGATAAGGGGTGTGATACTGGGATTTTTTTTTTTTTGATACTGGGATTAAGAGTGGTTTATTACAGTGCTGGGTGTGGTAATGGGAAGCCCCACCCTGGGAGTAGGTAGCACCACTCAAAAGGCTTATAGCCTGGATGGGATAAAGGGGAAGGGAGGCTGGATGCTTGCTGCCTCCTGCCTGCTCTGCCATGGACTATTTATCCTCTGTGATGCCCTCTCCCATGCCACCCTGCCCTGAAACCAGCTGACTATGAACTGAAACCCCTACACAAACTGAGCTAAAATAAACCTTTCCTCCTTTAACTTTGGGTTTCAGGTATTTTTTCTCAGCAATGAGAAAAGTAAAACACCTCACACTAAAACACCAGCATACATATGAACTATAGACGTAATTTTAAATTTTCTAGCAGCCATGTTAAAAAGAAACGGGTGAGGCCGAGGATTTAGCTCAGTGGTTTTGCCACCTGCTGCACAAGCGCAAGGACCCGAGTTCAATCCCCTGTACCAAAAGAAATGGGTGAATTAACTGTAATAACATTTAACCCAATATATACAAAATACTATTTCCATATGTAATCAATATTAAAAGATGATTAATACTCTTTTTTTACACCAAGTCTTTAAAACAGCCAGTGTGGTGTAGTACATATAATTACAGCACAGCTGAATTCAGACTAGTCACATTTCACAAGCTTCACAGTGGCATGTGGTGACTGGCTACCATTCTGGGCAGTGCAAGTAGCATCTTAGTACCTTAACTGGAGCATCAAGCTCCCCAGACACGTTCCAGGTTGACCAAATTTACGAAGACAAGGGAAAGATGATGGAAGATTTCCATTTCCTTATGTTACTATGTGCTACCTGAATTAATTAGGATATTTAATATAACTAATCTTAAGTGTTTTTTCTCCTTTGTCACCCTTGTGATAGATACAAAGTAAGAATAAAGTTCTGGGTGGCATAAGCCACAAATTTCTGTTGTGTACACTCATGGTCATGCAGGATCCCATATTATGGGAATATTACAGAAAAAATAGGTTAAAGACCTAGTAAACATTTCTCCGCACACTAAAGACTGAGCAGTTTTCCTCCAGGGACCATATGGCCATCCTCCCTACTAGACTGGGAACCATGAAGCCTCACTGCTGTTCACTAGGAGTGAAAAATCCACAATTCTTAAAATGTAATCAGCTCACAGGCATTCTTTTCCCAAAATGCTAGTGTATAAAGCACTGTTTTCTCTAGAGTACTTACATTTGAATGTTCCCTGTAGTCAGTTTAAGAGTTAAAAATGTGTCACTTGGGGCCACAAATCATATCAAGGACAGTAAAGCAGCTATCAGGATTCCCTCTCAGAGGGGTTCTTTCAGCCATAAATTATGATTCTTTGTAAAATATCACTTAGCTAAGTACTTGTGGAGAACGTATTACCTGGTACATTAAATTTTAAGCAAATCCAGATGGATATCCTGAATGTATTTTAAATGCTGTATCACTTAAAGAACAAGAAAAGCTAGCTCTTTGGAATTTTTCTAAAACTCATGATAATCTCTAAGGAGGTATACAGGGTTAAATGAGTAGTAAGCAATTTGGCAGTTAAGAGGAAGGAAAGTATTCATACTTTTTAATGTGAATTTCTAATTTGGGGATATTATTCTAAGGAAATTATCCTTGCCATGCAAAAATAATACATGACAAAGATATCATGGAAGGAGCCGGGGATTGAGCTCAGTGGTTCCACCAGCTTCCTCGAAAGCACAAGGTCCCGAGTTCAATCCCCGAAACAAACAAAAAAACAAAAATATTATGAATTTTTGGAAAAGAGAAAGGCAGCCACATTCTTAGCAATTGGGTTTAATGCTGTATACAAGTATTATTCTAAGTGCATTAACATTCCATTCATGCAACTACTCTGACATTTCATTATCTCATTGTACAGGTAACAAAACTGAAAGACTATTATGTACATCTCTCCCAAGGTTGGAGGGTAAGCGACACATTCAGGGATCAAGAAAGTTGGGCTGATTTGATCATTACGCGGAGTATAATGTACTGAAATATCACTGTACCCTGCAAATATATCCAATTATCATGTCAATTTAAAAATTGTTTAAAATGTCTGACTGACCAGAGTCCATGTTCTGAAACTATCCAATACATTTGCAAACATCAAGTCCAGTCAAAATTACTCTTCAAAACTTCTTAAATACTATATACATGCTATTTGTACTGTATAGTTTATTAGGTCTAACACAGCCAATTTTTACTCCAAAATTAGAAGAGATAATTTTGTTGCAATATTAGATATAAGTTTATATTTACAGGCTTTGTTATTTAAAAAACAGAAGAGCCAAGATGCATATATATTTTTATGTATGACTACATAATAGTGGCGGGATTATAATGATTTGTGTGACTGGTCTATGGTTCAAATTTTTTCAGAAATATAGTTCTTTAACTGAGTATGGTGATATGCCCATAATCCCAGCATTCTGGGAGGCTAAGGCAGAAAGATCACAAGTTCAAGCCCAGCCAGGGCAACTGAGACCCTGTTTCAAAATAAGAAAGGCTGGTGATGTAGCTCAGTACAAAAGCCCTGGGTTCAATTCCCAG